TTAAACATACAAGTAAATATATCAGAATTCGACTTATGTAATTTAAATGTTACAATACATTTTAAATGATAGTTCTAACACAAGAAGTGCATCTAATTCCAAAATTTCCAATATTTATATTATGTATGCATCCGAAACATAAGCCAGTTGTTTGTTTGTTTAATGTTCTTTTCAAGATTTAATCCACAAACAGAGTCTTGCAATATAATATCGGATAATATGTTGATTTTTCCTGCGTCCTTCTTACTACCATTTGGCGGAGAAAAGTATCTTGATTTCATACCACTTTCAAAAAGATTTCTAGCCACTTGTTTCAATTTAAAATTCGTTTCAACAGCATTAACTGTATTCTCCGATGGTGATTCTGTTGAGGTACTATTTTTTTGTACACATTTTTCTCCGTTGAGGGTGGATACTTTGTTTATTTCATTATTTTCTTTGTTTTCTAGAGCGTTATCTATATTTGCTGTTTCTTTAATACGTTTTTTTATAACTTCTTTGGTTTTTGTGGTTCTGTTCCGAGCGAGGTTTTTTATTTGTTTGCATTTCTTTTAATATATTGTTTTCGGTTCTCTTTCGTTTCCGTCCTTCTTTTTCAATTTTTCTCTTTCTTTAGTTGTTCTTTTTCATTAGTAATTTTCTTCCACTGCGTTGACGTCAAAACGTATGATAGTCGTTCAATATCTCTCTCTTTCCTTTCCTCATGGGAGTTTGTGGCCAACGTAACACATCTCTGGGACTAGTATCGGCTGAACAATTTTCTTCTATGTTATAGTCTTCCACTTGAGCTGCTTGCTCAGTAACAATGCCATCAGAAAAGACGATCGGTAAATTATTAATGTCCAATTCGCCCATTAATAATGTTTTTCAGCACCTAGAGCATCAAAAGAATGACTACTATTGACATTAGTATCGTGCGACAGGAGCAAATCTATTTCTTCGTCAATGGTAATTTCAATTTCTGTTAGTGTCATGTCTTACTTCTAAATCTTCAGTAGGTAACATTGAAATATCCAAATATTCTTCCTGTTGTACATTAGTATTTTCCTCTTTATCTTCCAGTCTTTTTTTCTGTTTCCAAAGTTTGTTGTTTTTGTTCCAGCGCCAGTGGTTTGAACTGTTTCCATATGTTAAACAACAGAGTATCCTCTTATGAGCTATTTCCCTGCCCTCTTTCAAAATCCTCAACACGTTTTTCTCCAACTATTTTTTTTTTTAAATCTTTGTATTCTATTACATAATTTTCCATATCAGTATTTGGTTGATTGTGAGATGTTTTTATGCTGTACCTAAACATTTTGAAAAATCGATGGCATCTGCATTCCAGGGGTACAGTTCGCAAACTTTAAAACCGTTTTTGATTATGTTAGATTTAACAACTTTATCAATCACAGTTTTTAGTATGGTTGCAAAATGCCCTTTTGTTAAGGTCGTATTGATATTGTCTCGCCTTCATTCTAAAACTGCTCTTTTCCATCTATTTTTAATGGGCTTAAAAGCAGCGACGTCTGCGGATTGTAGTATTCTAGTTGCATTTGGATAAAGGTATATTAATACGAGTATAATTTCTAGTTGTGTGCAAAGTTCACTGAGTTTGTAGGTTAAATGGGTACTATGACTGTCTATAAAACGAATGACTGGAAAATGTGTATTTTCTTTTTTTAAATTGGGGTGAAGAATGTTAGAGATGTATTCATAGAATACCTCAGATCGCATCCACCCCGACTCGCTTAATCCTATACTCCATTCTGATTGAACTGACTTAGAAATATTGGCTGGCAGTCGTTTGTTAGGAAATATAATCATGGGTGGTGTAACATTTCCTGCTGCACTAAGGGTAAACATAACAGTAATTGTTGTTTTTGATGATGCATGTTCTACTTCATAAACATTTTTGGCACTTTTAGGAGCTAGTACCTTTGTATCCTTTGGACAGAGATTAAAACATGTTTCATCTCCATTGAAGATACGATGTGGATCATTTAATATGTAGTCAAAGCCTTTAGAACAAATATAAGAATTAATTTCGTTAAATCATTTTGTTAAGTCTGCTTGCGGAACATTAGCACTTGCTGATGTTACAGCTTCAGAGGTACGAATGGCCTCAGGATGGCGACGAAAAAATGATTTGTACCATCCCTCGCTTGCGTAATTATTTACGAACGGATTGGGTCTAGGAGTTTTCTCCAAAAATTCTTTCACAGATTCTTGGATATCATCTTTTCGCCGCAGAAAACCTTTCTTATGATTTTCAATTATCCACTCCACTATGATTTCTCTTCAGCAGCAGTGAGAACTGGGTTTGGGCCAAAGTTGATTTTATTGAATTTATCGCTTCTTCTGAATTGCAAAGTTGCTCGTGGTATACTAAACCGTTTTGCACTTTCCTTTAATGGTAGTTGAATTGCTTCTAGTGCTTTTTGAACGTCTTCTTCAGAGTATTTTTTTTATAATATTCACCTTCTTTTACTTTGCGCATTTCGCAGATTGGACAAGAACTGCAAAAAAAAAAATTAAATACAGTAATTGGCCACAAAGCTACTCAATAATTGGCCTCCGGCCAACAACTGTTATTGAAATATGTTTCATATTTCCTACTTGTGGACTTAGGAATAAAAAAGCTTATTTAACATGTTAAAAGTTATTTGTTACAAAAACTTTAATTCAATACAAATACAGTGTTTGGCCAAGGGGGCCAGTAACTATATTTTACAAATATTTTATTGATATTGATTGACCTCGTCAAAATAACACACAATTGGCATTTATATCTGTTAAAACATATTTTTAAGCATTTTTTAACCCTTATACAATAAGAAGTTCGAATAGGCACTAATGATTTTTAAGCAATTATGTTCAATTAACAACTTACCAAACAGAAGGTGCCCCTTAATAAATCAAAGAACGCAGACGTAATCACACCATGCACTCACACTATCCTATAACACTGTCATTATTAGTAATTATCAGCACTACCAACACATAAGAATTATACCAACTGTAAATAACAAATACTACCAGTTTCTGTTAGTTTAGATAGAAAGTAAATAACAAAATTACGCCTATTTCAGTTTAAAGACAAGCGGCCAATAACAGTATAAAAAATTCAGACTGGCCAATGACTGTACCATTTACCCTATTAGCACTCGATTTTTATATCTTGTAAATTTTAAGTTCAGTGATTAAAGGACAAGTAAACTATTTCTCTCATTGTTATCGTTTTTATATACATACTACCTAGTTTAATTATTATTACAGATGGGCTAATTAATATTTTTGCAGGTACCTCGTATGAAACTAATATGATGTAATACAATTTAAAAACAATATTTGATTTTGTAAACACACTAGAAATAAGGTTAAGGTCAATTTAGAAATGTACAATAGATAAAATCCGCGGAAGAGTGAAAGTTTTACTTTCGTAAACCATGTTGTTGATACATTTAGAGCCGGTACTTTGAGTCTCGGTTAATAATAAATAATAATACTCAAAGTACCAGCCCGACTGCAAATCGTATTTGAAAAATGTTGTGTACTACAATTCGCTTTGATTATGTTTATTTCGACGATAGAACAGCATCTTGTAGTGTTACAATTTTCTATATTGCATTTTTGTGAGCTTGAAAAAATTGCTCTAAATTATAAAACATAGTTGATTTAAAATGTAATGGTTTGCATAACTAGCGTATATCGTAGACGGTCTACGGTGACACAATATTTTTCCACAAACGTATTAGGTACGTTAGAGAATGTTTTTGCAGACCGGTAATTAGCAGACGAGGCTTTCGACAGTACTTTTACTGTTTACTTTGTTTAGTTAATTATAAACCCATTTTACTTTACTGAAATGGAGATATAATCCGATGGTGATTGGCTTAGTCTGTTGCATATATGGGTATACCCATTTTTTAAATCAAAGAAGGGCATAATACCTTTTCGTCGTGTGTAACTAGTGAAAATCCATTATTCAAAACATGTAATGGGCACCTAAGTGTCACAAGCTTTGCTTTGTATTTTTTTCTATTCAATTCTAGATGACGCAACGTGTAAGTGTCAGTGCACGTTTTAAGGGATTTAAATATCCCAATAAACAGGTTTTGGTACTTAGCACCTTCGATATTTCAACGCCTCATTGTCGATCCCAATGTCCAAAAAGTTTTAGAATTTATACAGTCAAGCTTTTCAGGAATTCCTGTCGTTATAGAACAACTTGAACGTCCACCAAAAACAAGAGAATTTACCATAATCGATGCGATGATTGTAGTGTTTAATCTTCGACAGTGTATGTATGTATATTAATTATCTGGAGACATCGTTGAACACGTAAACAAAAAATAAAAAAGTGTTTCACACAGCAATCCTGCTTTTGTCACAGTTCATCAAATAATAGACCTACTTAGGGCCTAAAATAAATATGGCGTCTTTATGAATGTTCCCCTAATTTAAATATGTGCCCATAACATCTGCTGAAATAGAATGTTTATTTTCAACATAAATGGATTATTGCAGACAGGCGGGGGATTTTAACAGTAAAACATATGGAGCAACTTTTAATAATATACTTGGCTTGTAAGGAATGATACCGCAACAATAATTGTGATTAAGTGTGCAGTACAGTGAAAAAAAAATTATTGGTGTAACTGCTAGTGCCAATATACTTTTTGTATACAAGTACTTTCACTATACTATCTCCACTAGTAATTTTTAGAACCTCTACACTACAAAGTAAGCCACTGAAAGAAACTAGTATGCAGTAATAGTTTAAAATATATTGGGTTTTAATTGATATATAAATTAATAACAAATATTCCCTTACGCTGACACTGTTTTTGACGTCATGACTCGCCGATATCTGACTCTAGTAATTACTGAAAAATTACTCAATAATGATAATAAACACCACAAAAATTAGACAATCCCCCGAATCCAAAGCCGAGGCAGTCTAGAAGGTTACACTTAGAAAAACATAGACATATAACCATTCTCACCGACATGACCAGTGCCGATGGCGGGATTCGAACCCGCAGTTACGATGGAAGTATTTCTAGTCACACTAGCAATCGCGCGCTCTAGCCAACTACGCCACCGAAGTGGCGAGGTTTCATAAGATTTTAAGTAAAATTATGGATTATATTAAATTTGGCGAATGTGATACCACAAGTAATTCAAGACATTGACATGAAATTGTTTTTTTTGTCACACAGACACTCGGAGGACCACTATAGTATAAAAATGCAACACAACAATAACAAAGGTTACAAATCTAACATCTGTTCACCTGTGTAACATAATGGAATGCCATGATTAAGGGAGCGTATTCCTCGTCCAAATTCAAGAGTATTTTGTCATATAAACATTTGTTCTTAGAACCTTCGTTTCCAAATAAATATATTGAAACATAATTTTAAGTAGAATGGCATTTAACATGAAAAAAATTAAGCCCCAGCTTTAACCAGTTGCTTAGATATGGAGTCTGCCGATTACGTTTTCGCCAAGAATTATGGCATATCACTGAAAACATATTTTTTTGCAATTTTTGGAATGCAAATTTAATTTTGAACAAAAGCGTTACCTCTAGTGGAAATGCAAAATAATGTGTTAGAAATTCTTAATGACTTAAAATGGAAATTGTACTACTTTTCTAATGTTTCTGTTCTGTGGGGCATTTTTTTGGAACGAGTGTGCCAACTACTTCACACGTGTGAAAAAAAAAACAATATATTCATCTAACAAAAATCTACTATAACCAAGCAACTAAACACAAACCGATTTCTCCTAAAATAGGTTCATGAATCATGATTATGCGATTGCTAAGTTTTAGGATTCGCCAATACCCAAGTTGTTCTTTTGGCCTGGGCCCAACTTAATTTCATGCCAAGTGATATACTATTTTGTTTTTCAATGTTGTAATAATGAAATAAAACCGTTGCAATCGTTGATCTTGAGTCATGTTCCATAACAAGAGACTAATAGTAATAATTGATGATTTATGTTTACCATTTTATATTTATTAAATATGAAAATTGTAATTATATTTTCAGCATTGGACATTTTCTAAGATAAATAGTATTTGTTAGTATCATAGATATTCTAAGGTACTTTTTATTTTTGATATCTATAAAAATTATTAAAATTAGTGTCACAAATTATCTATTATCAATGACCTATAAACACTACAAAGACGTGGAAATACTTTGAATGTTCGTTTCTTCATCGTGAATTATTTTTGAACATATATTACATAATAATTCGTTAAAATTTTGTTTATAAATATAATTATAATGTTTTCGTAAAATCTGTAGAGTAAAACAAAACATTTATCACAGTGCAAGAGCATTTATTTAAATACAGGGTGGTATTCTTAATCAAATTATTTCATCTTTATTATATTATTATTTTATACGAATGCAGGCCATTGAATCCGCCTTCCTTTACTCTACAGAATTTACGAAGAAAACACTTTAGACTTAGAAAGTTGGATGTCTTGACATAAATAACAGAAGCAGACTGCACAAGGGCAGACGGTAGGTGCAGTAAACAGTATTTACCTTGTACTCTTCTTTACATAACAGCTTTTCCCCGTTTAACCGTCAATCAACGCTTGGTGTTTCTTCAACGCATCTTCCTTCACAGTGCATTTGCTAATAATTGGACTGAATTTACAGGGCTTCTAGGGGAGTCACTTGAGTCACTGAAGCCACTTAAAGCCCCATTCCTGGTAGTCCTCACCTAACAAGATTTAAATTTCTCACTCGTGTAATAAATTTTAACACGGTAAGGAATGACCCTCTATTGAGGAGAAGCAAAATTTCAACTGTATGTCATAATCACACGCCATCTCCCGCCAATGGTCCCCCAAATAGGTTTGTTTTTTTGTGTCGTTCAAGCCGTTTAGTGTAATTTTACAGAGATGTCCAAGAGGGTAACCAGCATGCAATAGTTGGAACAGAATTGATGCTCTACTGTGAAACAGTATGCAATAGTACCATGCAATGCCATTTAATATCCTGCAATACTCGTGTAATATCCTGCGTAATATTCTTGCAATTCTTGTGCAATTTATTGTAAAGCGAAATTCATACCATAAACAAAAGAAAAAGTACATTCTTTTTGGTACTGGGTCGATATAGATGTAGACTATACAGTGATGAATAATGAATTGTGGCTTTCGCAACAAATTTTAAACATTTTACTTGAGTTTTCCCACGTTTTTACCATGTTATTCGACAAATTTTTCTTCTTTCTAAGAAATAAAATATCCGTTTGGAGTGCTTTGCACATTATATTATATGGTACTATAATATAATATAACACTTATAATAATCTTTTAGATCTACATTAAAGACAAACAAATTAATCTTTTACAGCATTGAGTAGCAGTTGCAACGAATATGACATATTAGCAGTAATTCAACCAGTAATCCTACATAAAATTTTAAATCAGGAACTGTCTTGGCCAGATTCATATTACCGTACTTTACAGTAACGAGCACAGAAAGCGATTCCATCTCAAATGACACACGAAAAGAATTGTTAAATCAAATAAATATTTTTTGTCAATTGAATTTATGTGTATTTAATTTATGCAAGAATGTTCACTTTTCATCTGTTTTTAGCCATTAAAAAGTCACGTTTTTAGAAATATTTGGTCACTGAGTTATTTTTTCAAGGTAAAATTTGCTAGAAGCCCTCAATTTATGTATGACATCCCCACACTTTACATAACAACACACAACATATCACTTTCTGAAGACGCGGGCTGCCTTGCTATTTTACGTCCACTAACACGACACTAAACAGAAAATATTGAATAAACAAAAAGTGTCTTTATATTCGCCGTACACACAACAGATCTCTAGCTTGAAAGTTCTCGAACTGAACAAAATTGCTAAATGATGTAAACAAAATAACTCCCTCTTATTATACTAGCTTTACATGCAGCCACTGCCGCTGCTACTCGCGCTGCCCGCTGCCCTGCCCTATAGCAGCCTTGAAGCAAGTGACTGTTTACATACAGCTGGTACGCGTATGGAGGACGTAGAAACTGCCGCAGCGACAGCGCTCTGGCATGAGCAGTGGCAGCGCGAGCAACGTGTTTACATACTCGCGCTGCCCACTTCCCTGCTCACTTTAGCTGCATGTAAACCCGCCATTAAATAGGTAGGCAACCTAGCAGGTAGTCGGCCAGCAATGTGCTTTGTTTAGGAAATATAATTCTTGACCGCTCTAGTGCTGGTTTTATATGTAGAAGATTAATTAATTAATGTCTAAGTACACTGTCAAAAATTACGATTTAATTTATTATTATATTACGCGATTTTTCGGAATATAGTATTAAATTTAAAAATCCGTCTCTAGGATGACATTCAAACTCTTCAAGTCTAAATATAATGAATACTTTTAATGAGTACTGAGTACGCCAATATCCATTTGGCTTGATGACGGTCTCGGATGCTAGGGCCAGGCAGGACTATTGCCTTTTTACCCTAGTCATCGCTGTAGACCTGGACCGGCCTCGTGCAGGGCGGGTTAGCTTACTTTACGAACGGCCCCACTCACAAATGTGAGCGATGCCGAAGATTTCAGCCAACCTCCCTGGGTCCTGGCTGATGAACCCTGCTGGCTAGGGCCTCTTCTGGCGCTCTTCTGTCTTCGTCTTCTTTCTTCGCCAGCTTGTCACCCCCGGGGGGTAGTCATCGGTCTGTCAGGGACTGTGCGGATATTCTGTGATTTGGGATTGACTGCCAGTACACAAAGTGTCAATTGACACATTGTCATCTGGATCATCGGACAAGGTGAGGATGAACTGTGTAGCTCTAGGAGGTGAAGGCCTAAGTGCTTTCTTAGCACTTTCGTCCTTCACGGAGCCAGGGGGACAACGGGGGCTGGTCGGTTTACTGACCGGCGCCCGCAAGGTTTGTGGGAAGGTGGTTGGTTGCGTCATGTCTTTTCCGTGGGTTGGTCCATCTGTAAGGAAAGGATTAGTAATACTTACCCGTTGTCCAGTAACTGCACCTTCGGCCTCTTGTGCCTCGGTGCGTCGGCCGGGTCATAGGAGGTGAGTACTGAGTAGTATAAGTGAAGCAAGAACGAAAATTCAGTGTCGCCCTCAGTCAGTGACAGCTCATATTTCAGGCTTTTTCTGGCTTCAGTTACAAACAATGTTTTTCCACGTCATTTTAGTGTTTTGCTAGTATCAATAAAAGATAGTTAATATATCAAAGTTTCTTTTATTTTTCCAAATGAATAAACATATGTATTTGTTAATTTGTCAAGCTAGCTCATTTCAACAATAATTAAAAATAGGGGATGTCCCACTGGATTGAAAGTTTATTATTTTTAGTGGATATGATACTGCATTAGTAATCGAGATATATAAGTGATTGCCATTTTAATATTTTTCCCGTTACAAAATTAAATTATAAAGCTTCAGAGTAATTTATAATTGCCGCCAGTTAAACAACCAATGATATAATGGTGGCCAGGCCGATGTTGTCATATTTGCTATTTATTATAAATATTAAAAGTATTTGTGATTTTTACATATTTTACGAATTTGTGCGTTTGTGTTGTAAAAATTCGAAATAAATTTAGAGCTTAGATTTTCAAATACTGTCGGATAAACAAATAAAAAGAATTATGGGAAATGCCAATTCGGATGAAGACAAAAACACCACAGAAATTAGACAACCCCTGAATCCAAAGGGGAAGCTGCACAGGCGAGAGTTACATTTATGAAAAAACGCGGACACACAACCATTCCCACAGACATTGCCGGTGGCGGGATTCGAACCCGCAGGACGATGGAGGGATTATCTAACACTTGCCATCTCGTGCTCTAGCCAACTACTCCACCGAGTCGGTCATTTTCACATATTTCTTTTCATGTTATGGCAAATGAGTCAGAAAACCCAGACATAACTTTTTTTGAATGAGGGTGTAATATTTTACTTTAGAAACAGTTGAGTTTGTATTTATTATACTTTTACTTTTTATGCGTTACCTATTCCCGAGCGTACACCTATAAATCCCAAAAAATTTTTTTTAAAATTTTTTATGGTAAAAACTACAAGCTATATAATATGGAAAATTTGT